GCTGGGGCACACCGCCTGCCCATGAAGGTGGTGCAGTGGGGGACAGGCTCTCATCAGAGGGGCTCTGGTCCCCAGCAGCACAGGGGGACATTTGTGATCCTCTGCTGGGATTTGCAGGGTGTGTTTGGGGATCCAGCCTGTGCCAGGGTCGAGATAGAGCCTGGCATTGCCTCCCTGAGCCCCCCGAGCCTGCATTCCCCGGGCAAGGGACAGCAAAGGGATGTCACAGTGCTCACAGAGGGTTGTGGCCCTGCAAGGCGTAGGAGTAAGGTGCCCATCTGGTGTCACAGCAGCCACCCACCCTCCTGGCACAGTTTTTTTTAGGGCAGGACAGAGTCATGGAGGGGCAGTGAACAGCTCACCTTGCCCAGGTAACCTATGACTGTGTTCCAGGAGGGTCTCATGTGTCCCCCCAGAATGGAGTGCAGCTCCTGGCAAATTCAAACCAGTGCTGTGTCCATCTATAAACACCAGACTCCTTATTCACTCCTTGTCCAGATAAGCTGCTGGTGGGACAACCCCAAAATTTTGCATTAGTCACATAAACCTCAATGAGCTCTGGGAGAGGTGGTGAGACCCTCAGCACCCTTCCTGATCCTTACTATACCTTGTCTGAGCTCCTCAGCACCCTGTCTGAGCCCCACAGCACCCTGTCTGAGCCCCTCAGCACCCTGTCTGAGCCCCCCTGGGCTCCCAGCCCAGGTCACTGAGGCACTCACCTGCAGAGAGCACCTCAGGCTTCAGGCATGCTGACCCCCAGATCAAGAGGCTCTTGGTAGGGATCCTTCACTGGCAGGCCCTCCTGTGCAAATCAGGTGTGCAGGGAAGTTATCCCCTCAAAGCAGAACCTCCCCGGATGGAAATACCTCCCCACAGCTCCACCGAGCTCCATCCTGCATGTCCCTCAGTCCCTCCCCACACCCCACCACAGAGGACAGGGATATTTTTAGGTGTCCCCACACTGCAGTTTCCGGCTGTGCTCCCAAGCAGGGGTGAAGGTGCATGGGGTGCAGAGAGCTCTGTTCATTGTCCAGCTCAGAGCTGGTTGCACCCTGGCTCAGCTACCCTGTCCCCCCTCACAGCTGGGCTGGCGTGGGCTCCTTCCCCATCTCTCCAGAGCCTTCCTTCTCCTCGCCCTGTGGTTTGCCCTCCAGGGTGACCTCTTTCTGCTGTCACGGTGAGTTTGGCCTCAATGTTTCCTGTTCTCATAGAGGGGCCAGGTCTGGCAGAGGTCCTAGGTCCTCATCAGCATGGGGACCTGCCCCCCAGGTTGATGTCACCCTCACCTTGTCACCTCCCGACTCATCCTGGGAGCACAGCTCCCCTTTAATCCTAGATTTGGGGGCTTTAGGAGACTTGCTGAGGGGAGATTTGAACACTGCTGGAGATGGAGTCAGTCCTGCCAGTGTCACCAGCAGCCACCTGTGGAGTGATGAGCCCCTGCAGGCTCCCAGGACCCTCCTCAAATCATGGTCCCAGGTGTTTCTGACCAGCATCAAAACACCAGAGGAGGGAATACACAGCCTTGAGCACCTCGTTGCCCCTTCCTCCCTTCCAGGTACAGAAGAAGGGACCAGCTTGGCCCCAAGTTGAGGAGTCCCCATGGATTCATTCAGTCTGCACCCCCCACGTGCTGTTTGAGGCATTTTGGGGCTCACCCTGCACCTCTCATCCCCTGCAGCACCTGGCTTGGCTCCATCCCCCTCTGTGGGGCGCCTGCCGGCACAGACTCTCCCTCCCAAGGACCCCGAGGTGTCTGTTCCCCCGCACACCCTGCAGGGCACCACATGATGCCAGTTTCTTCCCTCCTCTGGGGAGGGCCCTGACTTCTGCATTGGCTCCAGCAGGTTTTAAGCTCCAGCTTAGAGTGAGAAGCCTGTGCTGGGTGAACCAGGGCGGCCAGGATGGGTGTTCTCTGCTGGCTCGTGGGTTCTGCAATCTGCATCGCTGTCTGGGGTGAGTCTGCCCCCCCAGCCCGTGGCACTGTCACTGCTGGGGACACCCCGGGGATGGGAGGGAAATGGGAGCACCCAGGCAGGTCTCCCCCCAGTGCACTGCAGGGCAGACTGGAGGCAGGGGAAGTGGTTTCTTGCTTGTTGGGTCTCCAAATTTGCAGTTCCTCCAAGATAGTGTGTGCGTGGGATGATAAAGGGGAGGGGGGGAAGGACATGCCTTGGGTGAAAATAAGGCTAAATCGAGGCTTTAACCCAAGGTGTTTCACCCAAGCAGGCAGGGCAGCCAGGCAGGGGTGACAGGGGGACCATGCTCCCACGGGACCCCCTTTCTGGGTGTCTGTATAGCCATGCAGGGTTGAGGGATGGTTGAACCCATTACTGCTCCCCCCCACCCTGGGAATCATCTGTGGGTGCCCTGATGGGGTGGGCACCTATGGGACAGCCTGGGGTACAGGCAGGGGGGTGGCTGTCCCTGCCTCCCCCAGGTTTGGGGTGCAGGTCTGGTCCTGACTCCCCAAGGCTGGGCATGGAGCAGGTGCCGCCGGTCGCTCCCGGCAAGGTGGAAGATGCTGACAGAGGGAAGGGCCCGTTCCCAGCGGCGGGTGTGTTGGCGTGGGGTTGCACAAGCTGGGAGCCCAGAGGGAGTTTGGGGAGATCACTGGGAGATGCCAGGTGGGACCAGTCAGCTCCTTGGCACCCCTCAACCATGCTCTGTGTGTCAGGGGAGAGTGTGGCTGTGTCCTTCCCTTGGAAATGTCACCCAAAGCCATGGTGACCAGTGCTAGGGGTGACCCCAGGGCATCACCCCAATAGTCATCCTAGAAACTAGGGTTCCTTGGGGGTGCAGCAGTTCAGGGCTCACTCCAGTGTCACAGCAGGTCATGGCCTGGTGCTAACCCTGGATCTGGCCCTGGGTGAGTGTCAGTGCCTTCATGTCCCTTGGATGTGCCACCAGTGGGCTCAGGAAGCACTTTTGGCCAAGATGGGGAGCAGGCTGCATGGAAGGAGAAAGGAAGGCTTGGGACACTCTTGCTCAAACAACCCCATCCCCAGCTCAGATGGGGGGGTACACACAGCTCTCTCATCCCTTTGTCCCTCTCTGCCTTTCAGGACAGGACTATGGGTTCTCCCGCCCACCCCCTCAGTTTGGCTCCATCTACCACGCCCGAGGTAACACGACCCTGCAGCCTCCTTTGCTGGGGGGGAGCAGAGGATGATCAGCATGGGGCAGGACCAGGCAGTCCCAGTGCCAAACTGGGGCAGGTTCCCACAGCCAAGTGTCTCTCCCCTACCTGACACCCATGGCTTGGTCAGCTGCAGGTCTGCATGCTGCTGAGGGCTCAGGGAGGGATGTTGGGGTGCTGAGGGTTTGGGGCTGACCTGCATCCTGTACTGGGGGACTCACAGGGGTCATTAAGCTTCCCTATGCTGAGATTGAGGAGCCTTTCGAAGCCTGGTACAACCTGACGGGAAACAAGAGCCGGATCCAGTATTATGAGGGTAAGAGATGGGCACCCACCTGCTCCAGCTGCACCCACCCTGCACCACCAGGACTGCTGTGCCTCAGTTTCCCCTTCCCACCGGCACAGGGCAGGTGATAACCTACCAGTTTGCAGCTGTGAAGCCCTATGGGATGAGGTACAAGATCACACCAGAGACCACTGAGAAGGAGGTGAACACCATGAAGTGCTTCCAGCTGCCTGGCTCCAAGGAGGACGTGGTCAAGGCTCAGAGTGTCTTCCCCAACATCAGCGGCTTCAAGGTGGGAAATGTCGGAGCCTGGATCCGACCCACTGCCCAGAGCATCTCCAGGCTGTGGAAGGGGGTGCTGGGAGATGCTCCTCTCCATCCCAGGGGTGCAGGGTGCTGGCACAGGCCAGGACATGCTCCCACAGCCCCAGGGAGCAGGGAGGGTCACTTCCCCACCCGGATTGGGGCCGGACTCCCGGCTCCTTACCCAACTCCAGCAGCCGTGTTGGGACGTGTCACATCCCACACAAACGCTGGCGTTTCGGCACGGTTTGGGCAAGTCTCTGCACAGCAGCTCAGCTCCCACTGGCCTCAGCCTCCAGCAGGGCTGGGCACAGCATGTGAGTGGTGGGGGACAACAGGTTGTCACCGAGCTGGACACGTGCCTGCAGGGTGAGAGCTTGGAAACATGCAGAGAAAACCTTTGGGAGAAGAGGTGCAGCCAGACCTGCCACTATGGGTGCACACAGAGTTCTGTGCACAGTGGGGTGACCCCAGGGCACCACTGAGCCAGGCAGAGGGGTCTGCCTTGTGTTGCACCTCAAATCCTTGTCCCAGTTTCAATCCATGTGTGCTCACGGCCATGGAACCACTGGATCCAGCCGGGGGACCTGATGGTCTGCCTTGTGTTGCACCTCAAATCCTTGTCCCAATTTCAATCCATGTGTGCTCATGGCCATGGAAACACTGGATCCAGCCGGGGGACCTGATGGGTGCAGTGGGAGCACTGGACTGTGCAAAGGGGATGGGTGGGGAGTAGAGCACCTGGGATGGGGTTTAGGAACCCTCCTGATGTCATGTCCCCCCCAGTTCCTGCGAGAGGAGTACTATGACGGCCGGTACTGCGCCGTGTGGCAGAATGTCACCCGGTGGGCAAAGAAGAAGAATGTCTACACCCTATGGGTGACCAACTCCAGCTGTGGGGTGGCCCCTGTCCACTACGAGATGAGGGGGTACAACAGCCTGCTGGGCTCCCACTACGACAAATATGAGATCACCTACACTGATTTTGACAACAGCTACCCTCCCTCCATCTTCGACCTCCCCATCAACGGTGAGTCAGGGACAACCCACCCTGGTCCTACCTGTGGGGCTCGGGCTGATGGTGTCCCTTCTTGCTCCCCAGAGACTAAGAAGTGTGGGCTGCTGCCAGGGAGTGCAGTAGAGCATCGGGTGCTGGCAAACCCCATGGAGGACCTGGTGGGACAGCACCAGCCTTGGGCCCACCAAGTTTTCCATGACTACCGTCGGCGGATGGGGCGGCGATACAGCTCCATGCGGGAGCTGGAGCACAGGCAGAGCATCTTCGTGCACAACATGAGGTACAGGCAGACAGGGGGATGCTGACCCTCTGTGGGGATGCACCACTGCGGCAGTGGGAGGTGGCAGTGATGCCAGTTGATGCCATTCTGGCCGTGGTGGCAGGTTCGTGCACTCGCGGAACCGCGCCGCGCTCTCCTACACGCTGGCGCTGAACCACCTGGCCGACCGCACGCCCCAGGAGTTGGCAGCACTGAGGGGACGGCGTCGCAGTGGAGACACCAACAATGGGAGACCCTTCCCCACCGAGCTCTACACTGGCCTCATCCTGCCCGAGAGCCTCGACTGGCGCATGTATGGTAGGTGCAGGGGTGGGGGGACACCAATGTGCCTTGGGGGTGAAGGTCCTCATCCAGGCCCAACCAAGCCATTCTGCTTTCCATCACCTGTGGGGCTGTGCTGTCCTTGGGGTCCACATCTGCCTGTGGTCCCTGCTCTGCTCGGCAGGTGGAAGGTCAAAGCTGGGCTTAAGCTGGGCACTGGGAGGGTGGTGAGGCACTGGGACAGGTTGCCCAGAGCAAAT